CTGGATACCAATTCCCTCAAACTGGAGAAAACAAATCTGCAAATGAAGAGCATCATAGTAACACTTTAATAACTGAGTATTGATCATGATGAATTATAAATTCTACATTTTTATTAGAAATACATGTGTATACCTTCCCCACAATGCTTCAGTGTCTTACTGTTGTTAAGTGCCATTGAGTTGGTTCTGACTCACAGTGATCCTGTATAGGGTTTCTGAGAGCGGTTGGTGGGTTTGAACCGCTGAGCTTGCAGTTAGCAGTCCATTGCTTATCCCATAGTACCACACCAGTGCTCAGAGTACAAATCATACTGAAGTATAAATTTTACATTTTTTATTAGAAATACATGTAGATACCTTCCCCACACTACTCCAATGGCTTGTTGTTAAGTGCTGTCAAGTTGGTTACGACTCATAGCGACCCTGTGTAAGGTTTCCAAGAGCAGCTGGTGGGTTTGAACTGCTGACCTTGTGCTTATTTTACGGCATCACCCCAGGACTCCTCCAATGATTTACTAGATTTACATTCTGACAAATTAAAAATATTATTTTTTTAAATAGTTTCCCTGGAGTTTTGAGACAAAAGGCACAGTTGCTGTTATTGTTGTTAAGAACTGTGGAGTTGGTTCCGACTCATAGTGACCCTGCACAGGGTTTCAGAGACTACTAATCTTTATGGGAGCAGAACGCCTCAGAGTAACTCCTAATTATGCTAACTTGGGGTCGTTGGCTAACCTCTCAAATACTATCTGAAATGTGTTTCAAACCCACTCAGGGAAGCCTCAGAAGGAAGGGTACAGCTTTAAGAACCCTACAGAGCACAGATCTCCTCTCCAACATACGGGGTTGCCGTAAGTCAGAACTAATTCAATAGCAATTAATTTGGTTGGTTAACGGGCTAAGAAATGAAAACCAAGTCAGGTAGCAGTATAGACTCTAGGGAGTCTTCTTTAAGCACAGTTCATGTACTTTCTAGAGCATCTTGCTACATCATTTCCACTTGCTTCTGGGAATCTTCCAACATTGCAGATGGTGGGGATTGCCAGACAACAGGCTTCAGAAGAATGAGATATTATTATACAGCTTCCCCCAAACTCAATACCAGTTCTGGGTGAAGGACCATCTTTCCAAACATTTACATTCCGATATATTAAATGAAACGGTTTTCTAGAAGAAAATACCTTTTTGTCATTTACAATACCTAAACCAGTATTTAGTTAAAAAAAACAAAAATCCCTTAACACAAAATGGAGGTGGGAGGTGGGGAAGGAGTATAATGGTAGTGAATCATTTGTACTGTGGATCAAACCTCCTCTGATTGACTTAATTCACCTTTCTGTACCTGTATTATCAAGGAGTATAATCATGTTGTTCCAAGCCAAACTGTGCTGTGGTTTCAGCACAGTAGCGTTTCTCCATGCATTCAGTGCATCCATATGACGGTTGAGATCTGCATACTGAAAAGAACACACAGACACACACAATCAGTATTCCAGATTATCTACTTTCCCTCTCTAAGACAGTATGACCAAAACACCCCAAACAAAGGTGCATCTACTGTGATCATCTATGTGTGTGTGTGTGTGTATATA